TGAGTGACCGAATGACCACAGAGTGACCCCTGAGTGACCCCTGAGTGACCCCTGAGTGACCCCTGAGTGACCACTGAGTGACCCCAATGACCCTGACTGACCCCAAACTGACTGACTGACCCCAGAATGACCACAGAGTGACCGCTCACCGCCATGTACGCCGCACACCCCGCGCTCCGTGTTTTCGCTTTGGAATCCACCAATGACCCTGAGTGACCCCAATGACCCTGAGTGACCCCAGACTGACCGAATGACCACTGAGTGACCCCTGAGTGACCCCTGAGTGACCCCTGAGTGACCCCTGAGTGACCCCAATGACCCTGAGTGACCCCAGACCGACCAAATGACCACTGAGTGACCGCTCACCGCCATGTACGCCGCACACCCGGCACTCCGTGTTTTGGCTTTGGAATCCACCAATGACCCCTGAGTGACCCCTGAGTGACCCTGAGTGACCCTGAGTGACCCCTGAGTGACCCTGAGTGACCCTGAGTGACCCCAATGACCCTGAGTGACCCCTGAGTGACCCCAATGACCCTGAGTGACCTCTGAGTGACCCCTGAGTGACCACTGAGTGACCCCAATGACCCTGAGTGACCCCAAATCACTCCTGAGTGACCCTGAGTGACCACAATGACCCTGAGTGACCCCTGAGTGACCCCTGAGTGACCGAATGACCACAGAGTGACCGCTCACCGCCATGTACGCTGCACACCCTGCACTCCGTGTCTTTGCTTTGGAATCCACCAGTCTCCCGCTGATGCCGAAGTCGCAGAGTTTGATCTGACCCCGCTCGTCCAGGAGGATGTTGGACGGCTTCACGTCGCGGTGGATGACGCCGTGCTTGTCCTTGAGGTACAGCAGCGCCTTCACGATCTGGGGAGGGTGGCATTGTCATCAAAATGTCACCAAATGTCACCAGAATGTCACCAAATGTCACCAAAGTGTCACCCCAGTGTCAGTCATTCCAGTGTAACTCAGTACAGAATCACAAAAACCCCGTCATTGTCAGAAAAATGTGACCCCCTGCTTGTCCTTGAGGTACAGCAGCGCCTTCACGATCTGCAGAGAGGTCAAAATGTCACCAAAATGTCACCAGAATGTCACCAAAGTGTCACCAAAGTGTCACCCAGCCCAGTGTAACTCAGTGCAGAATCACAAAAACCCCATCATTGTCACCAAAATGTCACCCCGTGCTTGTCCTTGAGGTACAGCAGCGCCTTCACAATCTGCAGAGGGTGGCATTGTCACCAAAATGTCACCAGAATGTCACCAGAATGTCACCANTTTTTTTCCCATTTTCCCCCAATTTTCTCCAATTTTCCCCAATTTTCCCCTCATTTTTTCCCCATTTTTTCCCCAATTTTTCCTTCATTTCCCCCCATTTTTTCCCATTTTCCACTCACAGCCACGGTCATTTTCCCCAGGATCCTCTCCGGGATGGGGCCCTGAATTCTGGGACCCCGAATGTCCCCAATGTCCCCAAATGTCCCCAATGTCCCATTTTTTCCCAATTTTTTCCTGATTTTTTTCCCCAATATTTCCCCAACTTTTTCCTAATTTTCCCCCAATTTTTCCCAATTTTCTCCCAATTTTTTCCCAATTTTTCCCCAATTTTCCCCATTTTTTCCCCATTTTTTCCCAATTTTTCCCAATTTCCCCCAATTTTTCCCACTGTCCCCATTTTTCTTCAATTTTCCCCCATTTTTTCCTGATCTTTTCCCCAATTTTCCCCCCATTTTTCCCAATTTTTCTCTCATTTTTCTCCCAACTTTTCTCTCATTTTTTTTTCCTATTTTTTCCCAATTTTTCCCCATTTTTTCCCAATTTTCCCCCTTTTTTTCCCCATTTTTTCCCCATTTTCCCCATTTTCCACTCACAGCCACGGTCATTTTCCCCAGGATCCTCTCCGGGATGGGGCCCTGGATCCTGGGACCTCAAATGTCCCCAAATGTCCCAAATGTCCCCAGTGTCCCAATTTTTCTCAAATTTTTTCACAATTTTCCCACAATTTCTTCCCAATTTTTCCCTATTTTTCCCAATGTCCCCACTGTCCGCAATGTCCCAATTTTCTGCCCCTATTTTGCCCATTTTTTTCCCAATTTTTTCTGCACTTTTTTCCCACTGTCCCATTTTTTCCCAATTTCTCCAGTTTTTCCCCAACTTTTTCTCCAATTTTTCCCAATTAACCCCAATTTTTCCCCATTTTTCCCCAATTTTTCCCCAATATTTCCATATTTTTCCCCAATTTTTCCCCCAATTTTCCCCCAATTTTT